ACCTTTTAACACGTTCCGTGCCGAGCTTTTTTTACTCGAATCTTCACACTTTGATATTTTACTAAAACTTGATGTATTACGTGGAATTATTAATTCTCGTACACATAACAGCGTAACAAAAACTTATCAACGCCCATTCTTGCGGTGGAAATTGATTCTTCGGTTCTAAATTTCTTGTAAACAATTTGTTCAGTTCACTAAGTAAACATGCAAGCGTGTTAAATAAAGATAGAACAAAGCGTGCCGGGTCTTTGTAACTTGCTTTTAAATAAAGCGGTCGAAAGTGGCGCTATTGCGACGAGGCGAAGTGAGAAAACGTCCGAACTGTTCGCCTAAATTATCAAGAAATGATAAACATTTATACAACCTAAATGACGCTGGCCTGTGAATTCTGTGGCCGATGTAGATAATGACATTTTCTATTTTATCGACAAACGTTATACAAATTTTTATTTTTTTATTGTCACTTATTGTTAGTATTGTTACTTGCCAACGAATAATCAATTGACAATAAACCTTCTAAGAGCGAAACACTATTGTACGAAACGAGAATAATTTATTTCTTTGCTTATTAATTTCACGTCAATATATTCCAAATTAAAAGTATTCAATATTAAATTAAATTATAGATGCGAGTTGAAATGTTTGAACCAATTAATATGTTTATACAAACTCGCGCAATTCTAAATAGGATATATGGCTACACAGGAGGTATCAGCACAAACGAGGTATAGTAGTAGACTTCATCACAAAATTTAGGGTCCCTATGTATCCTATGTATCCTATGTATACACAGTCTGAATGGATCCTAAGTTCGTGGACGCAATTACAGACGAGATTAGTAACCCTTTAGACTTATCATCTGTGAATAATTTTAGCGAACAGTTTGAGCGATTTGCCATTAGAGTTAATGGTGGTATTTCGAAATTTCCGAGAGCAGATGATTCGTGCCAAAGTTTACATTGTATCCTACGTTGAAAGGTGCAGGAATTATCCGTTCCGTACATTTGCAATTACAAATAAACATTTTTGCACTACGTTCAAGCAGTAGATGCTCCTGGATACTTCTATACTTTATAATTTATAATATATAATTTAAAAAATATATATAATATATAATTTATAATTTAAAATATATATATATAATATATAATTTATAATTTAAAATATCGCTGAATTATCTAACAAACTTTTTTATTCAACGATCTATCTACCAGTTTCGATAAACATAACACTTTTAATTTCATTCAGACAAATCCTATTAAATGAGTCAGAGGTGGTGCATTTGTTAGCGACAATGTTAATTTATTCATACACGGAGAAACTTATAAAGCATGAATATTCAATGAATTATTTCATCGAACTTTGATTTATAAAATGATTTTATAAAATGATTTATATGATTTGATTTTATATAAAATCGATTATTTCGAACTCTTTGATAGTTATATAAATTATTCCTTTCACTCGTGTCGCCGTTAATCATTCCTTTTACTCTTTCACCGTAAACTTGTCAAATGAAAATAAAAAGCGGCGAGTTCTCGCGCAATATTTACATCCGTTGCAATCAGATGACCCGATTCATGTTACATCAGATCGTACACCGATGCTGCTTTCCCTTTGACCTCCAGGCGCCGTTCGGTTATTAAATCAATTCCGTCGAGGAAGCGTGGCGTATATCGGAAGTAATCGTTCGCCGTCTATTGCATGAAAAATTTCAGCAATACGCGGCGATAATGAAAGTGTAAACAAACAGCGAAACCGTCGGGCGAGTGTGTCGGAGCGGTGGGTCGAGAATTCAGTGTCGTTCCGATCCTCTCTTATTAACGATCGTCACCGAAAAAAGAACAATTACTCCAAGCATAGCACCATACAATTAGCGTCCCAAACGGAGCGTAGATTTTTTACGAATTTCTGGTAAGTACAGAGATCAATTTGCATTTATGTTTCATAAAATGTATCATCACGAAATTTTTCTCCAAACAGTTTCTTTTTTTACAGTTTCTTTTTTACTACAACTGTCTAATATTTTTCAGTTTAATTTAGCATGTTCGCGATTAGGTGTGAGTAAAAGTGGTCCTCAGGATTATGCACGGTTTCAGATCGTTGGCCGAGATATTTATGCTAGCGTGGCGGTATATTTTAATTTATTCCGGGAAAACCAAGTATTCTCGTATTCGCGTTCGTTATCAAACACTATGACGCGATAGGATCACGTGAGAGTGTAGTTACCCGACTGGGCTGGTAATTACTTGAACGCGTAACTATAATTACGAAACGATTGCGTAATGTAAAGCGCGCGGTACGTTCCGTCGTTGACGTAAATGAAAGAAAATTGATTTTGTATTGATGTGTGACAACAGCGGGCTGAATTGACCGTGAGCCGCCAATTGTTGCATCAACATTAAACGACTTGAGCCATCGATTCCTTCAACTATCTTGTCATTGTTTTGACGAGAAGCGTTAAACATTGCTCAGAACTTTTTCTCCTAGCTTATCGAAGTTGATACGAGCTCAACGCTAAGAACTACGAAACCAGTTAAACCGACAGGTTTTTCATTTTTCCTTTTACAATTCCTGACATAGAAACGTTTCTGCGTGAACTTTTTCGATGAACTACTTTATTCAAGCAGATATATTGTAACAAAAATTCTATGAAGTTTTAACCAGCCCAATCTCGCCGTTATTATAAAACAAATACATTAGTCGCGCTTAGGGCTCGTTAGTTCTTAAATGCAATAAATCTCGAAATGTATTTTTAGCGAATATTTGTCGTTCAAATTTTCATTCGCGAACGTTTATCGTTTACTCAATAAATATATCAGCCGAAAACAATTTTTAGGTTTATTTTTTACAAGCAGGTGCATCGGCGCGCATTCAATAATTCACCGTAAAATCAGCATAAATTTTAAATAATAATATAATAATAATACCGAATATTTATCGTTCAAATTTTTATTCGCGAGTGTTTATCGTTTACTCAATAAATATATCAGCCGAAAACAATTTTTAGATTTATTTTTTACAAGCAGGTGCATCGGCGCGTATTGAATAATTCACCGTAAAATCAGCATAAATTTTAAATAATAATATAATAATAATAGCGAATATTTATCGTTCAAATTTTTGTTCGCGAACGTTTATCGTTTACTCAATAAATATATCAGTCGAAAACAATTTTTAGGTTTATTTTTTACAAGCAGGTGCATCGGCGCGCATTGAATAATTCACCATAAAATCAGCATAAATTTTAAATGATAATTGAACCGATGTAATAACACGTCGCATGGTGCCTTGGTCGCACAGACATGCAACGACGGTGGCACTGCGAACGATTCTAATCCACTGTTACCGTTGCAATGACGAAAAGGCTGCGAACCGAGCGGGGAACCTTGCAGCCACGCATCGGGTTTCAACCGGTAATGGAATTATTTTCCTTTCCCCTACTAGAAATTGATTTCTGGTCACGGTGCACCTACGAGAGCTATGTCTGTTCAGTGAGGTCGCGGTTAGGCGGCCGAAGGGTCGCTGGAAATGGAGGATAACAGCGGGAACGAACAGAAGTAATCACCGGTCGCGATTTTCTTTCTAATAACAGTCGTTATCTCCAAGCGAACTTTTTAACCAGTGAGACAGCCCGAATCCGTCGATTCGATAGTGTCGATAGGTCGATTGAATCACACAGTCAAATCGTGAACGTTATCAGTTCGTTATACTTTATAGCGTTTTACCATAATTCTGCGTCGTTTTCGCCACGATTTTGCGTCGTTTCACGATGATTCCGCATCGTTCTTCCGTAATTCCGCGTCGAAACAGCCACGCTTATCGGTCGCCGATAACGTCTCTTATCGACTTTCCCCCATTTCCCGGCTAATTGACGAGTGTCAAGTGTCAAGTAAACGTTCGATCGGCCGTAGAAGATGTCGAGCAACCGTTTAGCCAATCGCGGATCACCCAGCTTTCGCAGACGCGTTTTTAAGAATTTCCCGATGCGCTCCGTGCGCAATTGTGGCATCGCTAGTTTCGAAATCGCATTTTTCAGCCGCGGGTCAGCCGGGGTTAGGTCTAATTAAAACGCTGTCCTACCGTTTATTCATAATATCGTCGCTGTGCCAAAGTTATTGGTCATTACGTTGGAAATATCGCGCGTTTTCGACTCTTCGCTTTCGATTACTTTAGAACGCGCGATTACTTCGAAAACAATGAATTGTTTTAGCTTCGATGATTTTCTTATCGAGGAACGATTTGGAAATGTTGTGAAAATTTTACGTCAATCTCCCGTATCGTTGTTGTTACTTTTGCAAATGTAGTTCGTCAAATTTTCGATAAAGTGTTCCTAAATTTTTGTTTGTTCGTCTGCAAGAACCGGACGTTTCTTCTTTCGATAATTTCGACCGACTCGAAGAGTATAAAATTCTTTCTGTATGTGTGTAACGTAAAGTTCTTTTTGCGTATACATAACATAAGATTCATTATGTAACATAAAATTATTTCTGTATACGTAACATAAAATTCGTTGTGTCTTCGCAATATGAAATTCATTGAGTCGTCACGATCTCCACAACGAAGTCATCGATCTTCCCCGTTTCTGTCACAAATGCGTCGACTTCGAATCACCAAATTCGCAGCCAAAATTCTGTTGAAACTCCGCGATTCTACTTCGATAATTAACCGTGCGATCGTTTCTTATTCGAGGGCCGGCGACAGCGAGTCAAAAGACATGGATTTCTTGCACCTGACCGGATGGATCGGTGGATTGCTCGATCTGAGGAACCCGACGCCGCCGGACGACGATTATCTCGATCTGAGCGAAGGCCGCGCCGTCGGGATGGTGCTGAAGCAGACCAAAGAGGAGCCAAAAGCCTCGGAGAAGAAGATAGAGAACCTGAAGACGATCAACCTGGACGAGGTCGCCTGGCACGACACCGCCGACAGCTGCTGGATCGTGATCCACGACTTCGTCTACGACTGCACGGATTTCCTGAAGAACCATCCGGGAGGATCGGACGTGATCCTCGAATACGCCGGCAGAGACGCCACTCTGTCTTTTATCGGGAGCGGGCACTCGAAGGCGGCTAGATTGAGCTTGGAGAGGTACCTGATCGGGGAACTTCCGCCGGAAGAGAGAATCTTCCGTGTTCCCGACGGTCTGAAGATCGCCGGATTTTAATTGCCGGAACGGACGCAACCCGTTCCCATAGATCCAGTGGTGAAAGACTGATTTTCTTGGTCCGCCGAGTGTCTCGTGAGTGAACTTTCGACTTCAGTTTCGCTTCGTGGACATGGCCCGTATTATCCGTCCCTCGGTACTTCTTCCTTAGTCGATCGTCTTAGTCGGCTAAGTTTTGACCGATGTTTCCAGTCGGTCCTTGATGGTTTTCCGTAATTCTGTTCTCCGCAGTTTCGCTGTTTCGGTGCAATTTCGTTGTCTCGACGCCTCTACGCGAGCGAGAAATTTATTCATTGCGATTTCGCAGCTCGAAACTGTGATATTTTCAGATTTTTCGATACCTGTTCGATTGCAGTTTGTGTCATTTACACTCGAATGGCGGACCGTTTTCATCATTGATAACTTTTGTCAATTGTTTGCAACTTATTTTGTAAGGTACAAGGTCAGTTCTTCTATATTTAAGTTTTAATTAACTGTCAGGAACTAGATGATAGAATGATATTTATATTCCGGGTCCGAATGGACCCGCCGTCCTAGCGTTTAAGGGGTGTTGTTTCGAAGAAAGTATTTGTTTCTCGGGGAGATTAGAATAGAACTCGTTCGATGCTCTTTTTTAGAAATCTCTGTTAACGCGCGGATATTCTTTTAATTCTCGGTACTTAATCATGACTGATAAAATTATTAATTGAAGCTATTACGCGAAGCTGAAAATAGTGTATTCTATGAAAACAATTGAATGTTCCGCGCTGATTCACACAAATTAATATTTAACAGCACGATTATAACTAGACCGAGGATCGTTGTGAAAAATAAAAATTGTCCGCATTGATTGCAAGACATCGCAAGCTTTTTTCTCCTTTTTAATCATTTTAATAAGTTCACACTGTTGGTTTCTTTTAATCTTTTCACTGCTTGAAAAATGAGAATGTCAAACACAAAACCGAAACGACATTAGAAGAATTCGAGGATATTTGTTGTATTATTCTCAAGTTATTACTTAGTTATATTTTATTATAACTAATATAATATATTTTATTATATAATTTTATAAGTTATATTCGCTTACACAATTTTTATTTTCCACGAAGATCCGCAGTTCAGCTATTACACTACGTATAAATTACATCGATATACCGTTAAGATGAGTATAATAAGAATTTCTCAGATGCAGCCGCAGTCCCCAAGCGAATGTGAACGAATTCAATCGCGGTAAGTGGGACGAGCACTGCGACTATACATGCAGTTTTAATTACGTTTTCAATTACGGTAACGTACAAATCAATTCGACGTCAGCAATTTGTATGCGCCGTGGCCGATTTAAAAGTTAGATTCCTTTATTGACCGAACGCGAACGTTGACCCAATTCGATTTACAAATTGTAAATGGAACGATTGATTGAATAGTGCACAGGCTGCTTATTGATTTCCTCTCGTGCTCGGGGTCATTGCGAGCATAGTAAATCAGTTTTCGGGGACGTTGTTCCCGATTGGAACGGCCCCCGCGTGTCACGGAAATCGTACGGGATATCTCGAGCGACCCGTTATTCTTCGATTAAACATCGTGAAATTAGATACATACGGTTGCTGCGGTCTCGAGCCCGGGTATTTTAGTTACCAGCCCGGGGTCGCTTTACATCGTACCGTTCGCTTACAGCTTTACATTCGTTTTACAAAGCGATCCTGCATTTTTAATGACACCGTCTCTCGCGGAGGAAGTAAAACAAGATACGTAAAAGTCTTCGGAAGATTAATTAAGTTATTCAGCGCATCGAATTATTTATGTATTTAATGTAGAATTTGATATACCGTTTACCTCTGTTCAGCTACGAATCAAACGATTTTTGTCCGTTCCACGCACGAGATTCTGCAGGAACGACCAACAAAAATAAAAAGATACGAAATTGATCCGTTACCAGTGGCTTTGGAAGTTTAAGTAATTTATTGAGCGCGTCGAATTATTTATTCACTGTAACAGATTTAATCTAGGATATAATGTATGTTCGTCGTTAAATAATCTCTCTTTAAACAATAGATGAGAATGTACAGAAATTATCAACAAAAATAAAAAGATACGAAATTGATCCGTTACCAGTGGCTTTGGAAGTTTAAGTAATTTATTGAGCGCGTCGAATTATTTATTCACTGTAACAGATTTAATCTAGGATATAATGTATGTTCGTCGTTAAATAATCTCTCTTTAAACAATAGATGAGAATGTACAGAAATTATCAACAAAAATAAAAAGATACGAAATTGATCCGTTACCAGTGGCTTTGGAAGTTTAAGTAATTTATTGAGCGCGTCGAATTATTTATTCACTGTAACAGATTTAATCTAGGATATAATGTATGTTCGTCGTTAAATAATCTCTCTTTAAACAATAGATGAGAATGTACAGAAATTATCAACAAAAATAAAAAGATACGAAATTGATCCGTTACCAGTGGCTTTGGAAGTTTAAGTAATTTATTGAGCGCGTCGAATTATTTATTCACTGTAACAGATTTAATCTAGGATATAATGTATGTTCGTCGTTAAATGATGTCTCTTTAAACAATAGATGAGAATGTACAGAAATTATCAACAAAAATAAAAAGATGAAAAATTAATCCATTAGTGGCGGCATTGAAATTTTTACACACTCATTGAGCACGTCGGATTATTTATTCATTACGACGTATTTAATCTGGAATGTAATGTGTCACTTACCTTTACAAAAATCGTCGTTAAATGGTATTTGTTTAAACAATATTGGCGAAATATCTTCAATCATGTCAGAATGAATTGTTTGGTACTACGGTTATTCATTCGACGTGAAAAATATCCTGATCAATAAAAACGGTGATGTAAACAATTCAGTGCTGTGAAACTCGATGATACTAATTCCGGAGAGGGGATTATTTATAGCCTGAATAATGGGTGTGTAATAATAACACTAAGTAGAGTCTCCTCAGTTCTTCAGCGATCGTTGATCGATACGTATCGAATCAATCGTGATCGATTTGGTAAAAATTTCTAGAGAATTCAACATAATTTTCTTACACTTCTAAAAAACTTGAAGAATTCGAAGAATTTGAATTAATTGTAAGAAGCAGGGGTCAAATAAAAATCTCATTGTTCCCTTAATAATTTGAACGAGCCGAAATTAATACGTCGACGTGCTTAAATTCCTTCAGTTTGTCTGCTGCTTTAAATCGCACTCGTCGATTTTCGTCATAAATGCCTAAAATCCTCGATCTAATAATTAGTATCCTATTACAATGACACGATGTCTTCTCTAAAGTGTCTTCCGATGTCTTCTCTCCTTCTATCGAAGATAACATCTACGCGATACTACCGCCAAAAACCAGTAATTCAATTTACCAAATGTCCTCGCGGGCGAAATTCTAAAGACTAGTGGAGTGCAAAAAAAAAGAAAGAAAAGCAATTAGTACAGAGAAGACGGGAGGAGGGATCAGGCGGCCGTTTTACACCGGTACAGTATATTTCTTGGTCCTCTAAACATTCATAATATACACAACATACAATATGACATAGCAATTCAGCTTTTTAGTTCCTCATTAATGCGTTACCGACAGAACGTTTACAATTAGTTTCTCGCGAGCGTTCTCGCGCCTCTCCTCTGCCAGTTCTTTTTTTCCGCCTCGTTATTCCGCCATCGTTACGACTGGCACAGCTGGAACGCGTCATTGTGCTCGACGGCAGGAAATAGTAATCGACATCCACGGAAAAATAAATACGAGGTACACGACGACGATGAGAAAAATATTTCTATGTCCAGAGTAATGCATCTACAAGTACGATCGTAGTTTCTCTTTCATTCACGCGTACACTCATTCGCTCTCTCTTTCTCACTCTCTTTCTCTCTCTTACTCACTCTCTTTCTTGCTCTCTCTATCTTTCTGTCTCTTTGTATGTCTATATTCTCTCTCGCTCTCGTTCTCTCTCTCTCTCTCTCTCTCTCTCTCTGTCTCTTTGTATGCTATATTCTCTCTCTCTCTCTCTCTCTCTCTCTCTCTCTGACGTATTTTTATTTTTATCGTTTTACACGCTACGCCCTCTCAATTAACCTCTCGCGAAATATGGAAAACGCTTTTTCCGCCGTGACGTTTCTGTTACAGCATCCGGTCGGACACAATTATTAATACTTCATTGAACGCAGTCGCAATCAGTCGCTATTGCAATTAATTCCGAACTGAAACAACTCGTTTGAACGTTCGACGGGTCGATCTCGTGTCGAACGGAGAGAGAAAAAAAAACCATACAGAATGGCGTCGCAAACAACGCGTTTAATTATTCCGTTTATCGTGTCATCGGGGTTTTTCTGTTGTGAAAGCGAACGCGAGTACGCACGCGTGCGCGTCTTTCCCTCGCGGAAAGAAAGCTACAGATTTTAGAAATTTCGCGCTCTTTGGCAGTCCTGGATACACCACACACCTGTCACGCGATCGTTACGGTGCGCACCTCGGGACAACTGATATCCCTCGATCTGATTTTCTCGTTTTTTTCCCATTTTTTTTTTGTTTCGTTTGCTTTAATGTACATGTGTGTCTCTTTAGATTTATTATCCGCGTCGTTTTAACGATCGACCGTGTGCGCTTAGAGGTACGTCAGCTCGCAGACTGATTTTCCTGTCGCTGTCACTCGAACCGTCACTGACAGATCAACCGCCACGAAACGTTCCGCAAAATCCCAGCAATTTATTTCATTACACAACAATTTATTTTAAGGTACGATGCGACTATCGGTGGCTGGATTTTGGATTTCACGCAATTCCAGCATAAAAGGTTCGTTCAAAAATTAAAAAAAAGTATTGTTAATGCGCTGTTTGTTTTTTATTGTGTAATAAAAGTCCCGATAAGATGAACAAAAATTATCGAGTCCCGATTGTTCTACATTTTTTGTTGTTGAAATATGTATTTGCATAAAGTATCTGAGTCTAGAAATGTTGTTCCAATTTTAAATTAATTTTGAGTTAATTTAAAAGTAATTTTGGGTTGATTTAAAAGTAATTTTCAGTCAATTTAAAAGTAATTTTGAGTTAATTTAAAATTAATTTTAAATATCGACGAATAAATGTCGGTTAATTAATTTATGGACGATCTGATGAACTTGTTAATCTCAGATTGTCTCTCGGTAATCGCAGAATGAAAATTTGATCAGAATTTCAAGAACTAAAAACCATGCTCTGCAATTTAATACATTTCACAAAGAAACACTATAAAACATAATTAACGAGGATATCTCTGTCCTCGCCAAATTGTCTAATTATCCAGCCATCGTGAAATAGAGTTTCTTACTTTCTTGAAAATGTTCCGGCGACCAGAATCTTCTCGCTCGCCGGAAACTCACGTGTAGGAGAACGAATAAAAACTTGCCTGGTTGATAGCGAACAGGAGAATCACGTGTGTGTCGCATCGGCGTGAAACTCGGCTTCGGATTCGTTAACATTAGATTGTTTAAACACGGCAAGCACCGCGAATCCTAATCTACACGACTCATTTTCTTCGCAACATTAATATACATTTAATTATATATACTGCCTGATTTTCCGGCTTGATCTTATCGCTTAGAAAACGCAACGGTTTCGGCCATTCGTGCTGCGTGTTAGTACGCCCATGCCGAATCGGTTCGAGTCATAGTGATCCATCGATCCACACCGCGACAACATATTCGCCGACTGAAACAATGATCGACTCTCGAATGTCTTAACAGTGCATCGAATAGTTTTAGATATTTGTCACTCGATCGACAAATCGTTGACATTCTTTCACAGAGTCTGAGGTACGGTAATTATTAAACCGCGGATCTTTACGAAAAATAAAGATTATCCGCATCAATTTCGATAAATAGACGCAAAATAAAAAGTTATCCTTTCCCTTAATGGATTTAATCAGCTAAATCCAATACATGGACATTCTTGGACATTTTTAATCTGTTCACTGCTCCAAATAGCACTGTCACATTTTTGTCGAAAATGGCATAAAATCCGTAATCTATTAACAACAACCTCAACCGATAATAGAAAGTCGATACAAATTATTTATAACGACGCAACAAATTTGTTGAATAAATCGTAGACAATTCATTGACGTTCTCTGTTAAGTTACTTGATCTTTCGCGTGACTTTCAAAGGAAACAAACGCAATCTACTGCAACGTTACCGATCCATTTCCCAAGGTATCACCACTTGGAAGCGATTCAAGCATACTTTATATCCTCCACGAAGTAATGGTAACCGTTATATACAGCCACGAGTCCTTAACGAGTATCGTACATCCGTCTCGTGTGATTAAACGATCGGAAGTGACGCTCATTCGAGTCGAGAGCCTCGATTATTAGTTGCGGAATGCTGTTCTTGGATTCTCGGACGAACAGACGTTCCTCTGGACGAAGAGAATCACTATAGTTCCTCGCGTCGCACCTGTGCCGGAGACCTGAACGCGCGCACAAGCCAGCACTTCATGCCATAAGCTGCTGGCGCCGCCATTTTGTTAATGTCCTCGCAATTTCGACAACTGCTTTCCCTTTCCCAATCGTTAATTAATCAGTCAGGAACGCTGATTTTCGAAGAAACTTTACAAATAAACTTCACTTTTCGTTAATTTATATAATTATACATCATCAAAATGCTCTGCAGAATTTCAGTGAATTTATTTATGTTTATCGCTGCATCATAGTGTTAAAATCTTTATAATTTCTTAACTGACAAAGACTTTTCACGAAGAATAATATGCGGGGTTCAATCAAATTGATTTACTAATTTGTCTACTGATTTTCTATTCCGAAAATAAGATAAAATTTCTATATTTTATAAATTTGTTTAGAGACATGGAAATTAGATTAATTTTAATATTGAAGCGTAGAGTTTCGTAATAAACAATGGTATAGAATTTATTAAAATCGATTACAATTCTAAATTAATTTTCTATTCTAAATTATTAGAAACTATAATTCTACATTCGATTTTCTATTCTAAAAATAAAAATGTACTTCCATACTTTTTACATCTGGTTACAGACATGGTAAAGTCCATACACATCGATAGATATATTGCAATATGAGTAAAAATACTGAAATACAGAAAATACTGAGAACGAAAAGTGGAGAATGTTTTAATAATCAATAAGACAAAGCTCTCCTGTAAATAAATCTCTGCCGAGTCTATTCCCCGTTTGCGTGGTACGCAGAATCGCGTGCAGATTTCGCGCGAATCCGCAAAATCCACGAACAGCATTCCCGACAAAGTGGACCGAGCAGAATAATCGATTATTTACAATAATTACGCGTATGCTCTCGGCGCGCAACATCCGACGAAGGGTAAACTGCGTTAATATCTAATCGACGAATTTCTCTGCCGTCTAATTACACGTAAATCGGAACAATTTATAACTCTACGCTCTACACGCATAACACGCTTCTGTTTATGTGCTTTTTTTATATATATATATGTATGGTTTTACATTTTTTTCGTTTCGTTTTGCAATTAAAACACCGACTTTACACGCTACTTTCTGTTTTGTATGTCGTTAGGACAGCCTATACGTAGGTCGTTACTTAACTTCAACTCATCCTCTTCCTATCGTCTAATACGGTACGTCGAAGTGGCTCGATAATTGTACACGGTTAATTGCTGCGGTGACCATTAAAATTATGGTTGCTCCTAAAAGGAGGCGACAGACGCGGTCGTCGGTTCGCGGCGGGGCTGGGGGGGGGGCATGGTGGGACGGGAGAAACAGCGGACACGAAGCAGCGAGATTCGTGTAGAAAAATTGATGACTCGATTCTTAATTGAATCGGCGGCGGGATATTCCGAATAATGAGCGTCTCGTTAATTCGCGAACCGCGCCGGGACGCCAGTTGCCCGGGCATCGATCGCTTCTAGCTGTTTAATTAGAGGTTCTTACTCTTGCCGCGTGCCGGGACGCGAGACAACGTAATTATCGAATTCGAGATCGGTGGCCGGAGGTGCGACGATGACAATGGGACTCTCCTATAATTAGGAGCCGCGGAAAAATCGGCCGAGAAATGCAAGCGCGGAATCGAACAACGTGCACGGGGGAAAAAAACATGTACGGTACATTATGCAGAAAATAAAAAGGTGCAGGAAATTTTCCGAAATGAAATTCCGTAGGAAAATTAGCCGCCTTTCACGAGAGCTTGTGCCTTCAATTGTTCCCCGGTAATATTGGCCTCCAAGAAGGGAAATTTTCTGGAATTATTCACGGCATGTAATTTGAAAGTGGAAGATCAAAAGAACGTTAAAGGGAGATTAAAGGTGTAACTTCTTTCGCGGCGGAGATTAATTGAGCTCGATCTCGACGGACTTCGCATCCGTCCGGGTAATTGGCGTGCCGTCGCGTTTCCCTGGAAAAATTCTGGAACTTCCGGCAACACGGTTACCGTCGGCAAGCAAGGTTTCGTTGGACGACTGTCAGAATGATCAGCGGGAAATTCATTGCATGGAGGACGTCGAAATGAATCGGATAAGCGTTGAATCCGTAGAATCTGCCTGCAGTTCACTTGATCGAGATTCCGTGGTGAGGATTGCGCCAACCCCCGCGTCTCTCTATTTAGTAATACTTATATACAGTAGGACAGCGAAGATTATCTTGTACCCCTACCCGCTATAGGAATGTATCTATCTCCCTCCCGTGTCTCCCATCGGGAACACCGATGATTTTTTTTTCTTTTTTAGATAGTACGACGACTAGGACAGACTACGACATTCGTTCGTATGAAACGTTACCGTGACAAAAATAAAAACTCCATACCGGCGCGTCTACAGAATGAAAATCCGCTTATCTCGTTCCGATCGCTGGAAACAATAGGGTTTCGACAACGTTCAACAACAGAAAGCGACAGGGATCCTTGTTCTCATCGAACGAATTCGAGGGGTGGCTGGGCAAAGTGTGCTTCGTTGAAATCCGGTGCCGGTCGGGGGTGGGTTGCGAACGCGTGATTAATTAATTGTCCGGGGAACTTGTCGCGACGACGAATGCGCTCGTAGTGAACACAGGGAGCACACGGCGTTAATTATTTTCCCTTCTTAATTTACTCATCGGCGGGTCTCGGTAACGAGCCTGGCGGGTCCGACCGTTTGAAACCGAGATGATCTTGCGAGATAATTACGCGAAGGTCGGTCGATAAAGTCCTGGAACTTTTGTTTAGACGTACGCTATCGTTCGGAAATTTCTGGACACAGGCAAGCAGTGCATTAATGGTGTAATAGTTATCTTATCCTTTTTTTTACTTATTTAATACTCGGTATCAAGTCAGTCCAAATCACTGTACTTTTATAATTAATAGGTAATTTCCTGCACATATTCAATAAATAAATAAATAAATAATAGGAATACTTTTTAATGAAACTTCGTATCAATCGAACGGTTCGCGATTTTGTCGATGTTTCGACTTCTGTGCAACTTCGATCGCAGGCAATGAAATACCCGCCTCGCGGCAAGGGACTCCTCGTGGCACATTTTTGCCGTCGCGATTTTACCAACATTCATTTTTGTTCATAATCCATGCTCGCGTTGTTTGACGATAGCACAGGATTTATACCTCTGCAAGATAAACCGATAAAAGAGACTGTATTTACGAGATATTTCGACGATATCTGCGATCATCCCGGTGTCCAGATACTTTTAGGCGATAGTGTACATTGTTGTTCTTTGGCGACTACGCGGATGTACGGTGATTTTAAAATCGATGTTACAACGCGTTTTCGAATTTATCAGCGGTTCTTATCGCTTTCCATTCGGCTGATTTATATCGTATCGCGAACGCATTAAAATTCAACGATAAATCTCTTTGCCGATGCTCGCCGCGAACGTTCGCGTTACCGATCAACAATAATTATTTGCGTTTTTGTACGAGAACGATTTATCGACTGACCGTCGTGCAGTTCCTTTCAATTCACCGACCCAGTTTCGTTCCGTATTCGATTCGTCGGGAAAGCATAGTTCCCTTGATTGTCATGTTAAAGAAAACTCGAATGTTTCAGGAGAATGCGCGCGATGGCGACCATCGATTGCCGGATGGGGAACGAAAACAGTGAACCGGGAAACGTTCAGAGGATACCAGAAAAATTCAGATCGACTGAATGCACCGTGCGGGGAAATTATACCTCTATTTGCATGAACGGTTCGATGCGATCACAAGTACTCGTCGGCGTAAAATTACATTTCGTCGTAAAAACGTTAGTGAATCGAACGGGTCGGAACGCGCTGTCCAGTTGCTGGCCGAAGGATAATTAATCATATGTACAGATCGATCGTACAAAAAACCGGCGATCCTCTATCAGCTCCTTTTGTTCGGCTGTCGGCGACGAGAAAGCTGGGGACGCCGAGAAATTAGGCCGAAACAATCGTCAGACGTGCACAAGCACCGCGTTAAATCCCACAAACTATTTCCTTCGGATATAAACAAATCGTCAATCTCGTTTCTTTCTGAAATTTCGCAGTGCAGGTGACAGTAATTCTCTTGGGTGCGACAAATTGATTTGCAGCGATCGCTGTTGGAAAATTAACTTTTAAAAGTAATTATATTTATTTAAATCATTTTTTGAAACTCTACAATTGTCCCAGAAAATAATTCATTGTATATCAAAAGAGCTATTTAATTTAACTCTGCTGTTTTTTTTTTGGTCTATATGACCCGAAATCAAGTTTATCTTTATAAAGATCCCATCGTCCTAAATATTTAGTTTATTTGTACACTGATATAACATTTATATAGGCTATTGCTTTCCTTAGGGGGCCAAGATTTGTCGACTTTTTATGATACATTCCCGTAGATATTGACGAGAGAAACACCGAAAGTGCAAGCTTCGATATGCGGAACTCGTTGGTTCAAAAGTTGAATAACGCTGAAAATTCGTCAAATTTGGATGCGCACAACTTTTCAATCAGTTTCGCACTTTACAGCTTGCATTTTCGGTGTTTTCTCTTCAACATCTGTAAAAATATACCAAACGAAGTCGATAAAAATTTTGGATCTCTAAGGAAAACTTCATATAGTTCAAGAATTATTCTATGCAGTGAATAAATTTAATATTTTTTACATATAGTACGTAATATTAAACAAATAAATTCAGGTGTTACTAAATTTAAAAAATTCCTACAGTTACGATTAACTGTAATAATTAAGGAGAACAGCAGAGGATTGGCAGAGAAATGCGGTCGACATTTTAATCACATTCGAAGAAAATAGTTCGCAAAATAATTTGACCTGACAGAGTCCGCGCAGAGACAGTTGCATCTCTCAAAGAGAAAACTAAATTGACTTTGGCAACCGATCGAAACAGACGCAACCCAATTGGGAAATCATCGTTCTACGCGACGTATCATCTTCCTCCGGTTCCATCTATTCCAATTAGGCGCGGAAAATCCTGGACCAGCCAGGGGATTAAAATCCTCGCGATTGAATAATCCTAAGCATCGACGCGCGCTCGATCGCTCGGAGCGAGTCGACGTCGTCGTGGTTTCGAAACGTAAAATCATGCTCGCTCGAAGACAGCGTTCACATCTTTTTCTCCTCTTTTATTTTTTTCTCTTTTATCGACTCGACGACAGATTTGTGCGAATTACGATGATCATTCGAGAGCCCGGGCAACCGGAAACGGGCCCGGGGTTCGACGTCCGGATGGTAGTATCTTCGGGGAACGATACGAGAACTAATCGAAAGCCCGGACGAATCGATTTCCTCGGTGGAGAACGTTGGAGAACGCTTGAAGACTTGGCTCTCCTCTCGAGCCTCGTCCGATGCTCGTCGATCTCTCAACCCGAGAGATTTGCCGGGCTGCTGTGAAACGGTTCCCGCGAAATCATTTTTCCCGATGAGAGCCGCCCGAGCCGGGCTATGAATTATTATTAACATTTGCATTCGCAGACAGCTGAATATTAATGCGGGCTCCCACGCCGGGTATTAATATCCATTCTCGAATTCGTATCGCGTTACATTCGATACATCGCGCGGCCCGAGCGTAAACAAATCGTCGGCGAATTTATTTTCATCTGGCTCGTCTCGTTTCACGGAATTTCGCTCCGATCGTTCTCTCGCGCACTTTTGTCGCCGTAACGCGACCGCGACCGCGGGAGAAGGACAACCAGCATTCCTTCGTGATCGAAAGAGAGGACGAGAATATCGATCGTGTCAGAGTCGATCGTAGATCTGCTCGGAAGTTCGACTGGATCCGTTGGATCCGCGACAGGTTTCTTCTTCTTTTCTTTCGCGTTTTCAGCGAGGAACCGTTGCTCGAGGTATATTTTCCACGCGGTTATGTTCCTCTCGTTCTCCTCGATCGACAACCGTCTTACATCAAGCTGCATAAAGAGATCCCGTTCTCGAACGCGGACTGCAACGCGGTCGTCTCCATGCAGAACGCGCCGTCCTCGTACATCGTCGCCAGTCTCTGCTGCTGCACCCGACTCTCGCTCTGAGATCTGCAACGTGACAGGTCGGCTCAATCCGTGCAAGGCTCGCGCAGTTTCCTGCGGTTTCGCAACATGCCGAATTATTCTGGCAGCTAATTGTTCGAACATTGATGATACAAGTCGCGGAAGACCGTTTTTTAATGACCAGAACAATTGGAATGAAGAGAGAATGTTAAAATTACAATGGACAGTTGATAAATAATTCATCTTTAAATGAATCGAATAAAAGGTGCCATACAATTTTTAATCACTTGCGCTATAATTTCTGTCGCAACTGAGTCTATTTGCGCTTCTCCGTCCTTAATAATTTACTTGGCAGAACCGGATGATTTTTTGTCACTGGCATGTCTTTATTTATTTCCATTCTTAGATTTTCATAACAGAAGAATCAAATTTTGTTTCAATTTGGACAGAATAAATAGCATTCGTGTTTAGTAGATCATGTATGAAATCTTCATCGTCTGACTCATTGTTACAGCGCAAAGGGTTAAGAAGGAAAACTGTTACAGTAAGAAGACAATGGAAATATATATGTATATCTATATAAAAATATATCTATACAGGATGTCCTAAAAGTCACTCGCAATTGGGAAATGTGGGGTTCCTGAGATCATTCGAAGTAACTTTCTCCTTAGCGAAAATGCAATCCGCGGCTTCGTTTACGAGTTATGAACGAAAAACACTGACCAATGAGAGGCGAGTCCTGCTGGCGCTAGGCGGCGGAACCAACAAGCGTACGAAGCCCAGTTCCGCTCATTCGCTCGGCGGCCTCTCGCCAGCCGATCTCGTCTCTCATTGGTCAGTGTTTTTCGCTTATAACTCGTAAACAAAGCCGCGGATTGCATTTGCGCTAAGGAAAAAGTTACCTCAAATGACATCAGGAACCCTTCACTTCCCGATTGCGAGTGACTTTTGGGACGCTCTGTATATAAGAAGCTCTAACATATATTTGAATACCTCCATCCAGTAAAAATGAAACGAAATAATAGAAGGGGAAAAAGTGGACCGTCAGCAAGGGAAGCAATCGCTGGTGTCAGCAGGTATCTATCTTCCCCGAATGATCAGCAAGAGACTATCTTCCCCGAAACCGAGTGGAACAGTGTCTGGTACGATAGCAGCCGAGACAGCTCGATGCTCGGCTCGCCTCCCAAAGGTGTCGTAGACACGTGATCTCGTCGACCGACGACCTAAATTATTTGGCGGCTCGACGTCGGTCCGTGCCGAGTCGGTTTTCCCGCCAGGAGAAAGGCTCCCGTGGAAGCTCACCTGGGAGGCATTGCCCTCGCGCGTTGTTGCGTCCTGACCTGCTGCTCCCTGGAGGCTTGCTGGTTCGACAGGTAGCTGGTGTCCCTGAGCACCGCTCCCTGTTGTTGCTGTTGATGCTGCTGCTGCTGCTGTTGCTGCTGCTGCTGCTGCTGTTGCTGCTGATGGTGGTGATGGTGCCCGGCGGACCTCGTCGACTCGTTGTTGCTCTGCGAGAGAGACAGCTGGGCTAGGTACTGCAGAAGCTCCGGCTGACTCGCGAGAAGTTCGCGACGGCTTTGAGCCGACAGCGTCGTCGTCGCCGTCGCCGTCGAGTCCGTCCATGGCGGCGGCGGTGTGCGGGACCGCGACAACATGGCGTACTTGTGGTACAGGTACTCCTCGTAGGTCGGTGGCAGGCTCGACTGAAAGCAGAAGAGCACAGGACTCTTTAGAGATTAGATTAAAGATCTGATTAGCGATATGAATGTGAGAGAACTCGGTGTTTACAGACCGGACTGGTCCCGGAAGTATTTTATAGTTATCGTTAGGAATTTAGGAATTTTTATCGCTAGCTTATCTTTATGAAACGCGCCATTTTGACGCGTCTCATATTTTTTAACGTACGATGATTGAAATCGTCAAGATTCATTTATAGGGAATTTATTCAAAGTCGTTGAAAGTCGGAGATAATGTTAAAGAATGCGAGGTTTCTCCGAGATTCCAGACAACCTAATAAATTTTACGCGTTTATAATACAAATTGCTTGGCGAAATTTCAAACGATGAATATATTAAAAGAATTTAAAGACGCGCTTATGTATTACTTTCAAGTAACTAAAATTATTAAAGGATGAAAGAAATTTTTATTTCATTTATCTTTGGTGCAGTCGACTCACTAGAATAACAACGATAAAAATAATAATCATTAGTTTGCCATCAAGTTGGCCCCCGGAGCTCGTTTTACCGTTTCGAAGAAGTTGTTCGCCGCAGGCCAGTTTGTCAGCAGGGTTCTGTTGAAAACGCGCGAGACCGGGGAGGACTAGCAATTTTCGGAAAGTCTAGGCAGTTGCAGAACAATTTCCATCGAATTCGATTACGTAGGAGAAGCCAATTAAATCTCAGGGGAGGGAAGAAATTTCTATCGGCACGGCGGCAATTCCGAGCTAATCTACCGAAGAGTTGCGATTCCCTAATGAGCAAGACTCATGCGATTAAGCGCGAGCGGTCTGAAACTGCGGGCGCAAATTGGATATGAGGGCATTAAGCACGATAAGTCTCGGTCGAAATTACGTAACGTAGAAACAGAAGTAATTTATCAGCTTAAGCCCCTGGATAATCGTGGTTCAGCTGGAGACAGGAACGGAGAGGAAATAGATAGATACAGAGAGATAGAGAAAGAGAGAGATAGAAATAGTGAGAGAGAGAGAGGGAGAGAGAAATAGTGAGAGATAGAAAGAGAGAGAGAGAGAGAGAGAGAAAGAGAGAGAGAAAGAGAGAGAGAAAGAGACAGAGAGAAAGAGAGAGAGAAAGAGAGAGAGAGAGAGAGAGAGAGAGAGAGAGAGAGAAAGAGAGAGAGAGAGAGAGAGAGAGAAAGAGAGAGAGAAAGAGAGAGAGAAAGAGACAGAGAGAAAGAGAGAGAGAAAGAGAGAGAGAGAGAAATAGTGAGAGAGAGAGAGGGAGAGAGAAATAGTGAGAGATAGAAAGAGAGAGAGAAATAATGAGGGAAATAGTGAGAGAAATAATGAGAGAGAGAGAGAGAGAGAGAGAGAGAGAGAGAGAGAGAGAGTAGTATGCAGGTTTTCGAGTAGAATGGTGGCTCCGCGGCGAGCTTCGCGCTGTTTACCGGGCGGCAAATTGCAGAAAAGTTTCCGAGGACGGGTTTGAACTCGAGCCAATTGTTTGGAGAGGAAAAACGGCGGTCCGCGCGGCGTCGAGACGCCTGGCGACGCGTCTTCTTCCTCTTTTCCTTTTCTGGCGGTCCGCTTTGCACACGGCCCTCCCCGAAGAAGAACTTCTGATTCATGGATGTTGTCCCCCGACTCGCATGAAAAATATCCCGAAGTTCCCGATCAAATTTCGCTCCGCGAACCGGCTAATACGCATTTCCATTTTAATCAAATATCCCCGGATAAGCTTGAATTCGCGCGAGCATCTGCAACCTATTCGTTACACGACGGGAACGTATTCTGCGGGAACGTGATGCCGCCCGATGGAAATCGGGTCGGAGCCAATAAAAATCATTTTCGTACTATCGGCTCGACTCCAATTATTTATTCGATGAATTATACGGGGCCGCGCCAGCGCGTTCGATTACTTTACCCAATGTTTTTGCTCGTCTGCTCTCGGCGACCGGAGACGCATAAACTGGACGGTTTTTGAATTGTTAACCCCCATTTTTCCCCAAAGATTTGCCGCTTTAATCATCGAAATCAGTGACATACTTCGGACGAGATGATCGAAACTTCGTCGACCGTGATTTTATGCATTTATGGCAAAATTAAATAGTTGTCATAGAAAACGGTAGAAAGAATAAAAGAGTTTCAAGATATCAATGGAGCACTTTTAATCTATAAAAATAATTAAAGAAAAAGCGAACGTGCTATTCGGTTCCTATTTCTTGCCATTGACGCAGACAATTTTGATTTTTCATAAAAATCCGCATGACGACTTAGTAAATATGTATCGTCCATCGATTCAACTGTTTCAAAAAATTGTCAAAATTTAAATTATCCTTTCGAATAAATTATTTAATCTGTCGACCGTAATTTGACCTGTTCCACTGTCGAATCGATACAGCTGTTAAAGAAATCGCAGTATAAGGGGTTGAACAAGGCATCCATGAAAAATGGATTTATCGAATCAACCGCGTTAAATCGTTCTCATGAAATCGGTGCTCTTCAAATATCTGCTGGAAGGACTTTTCATTTGTCGGGGACTTTGTATTTCGTTTTAATTGTACCGTACTTACGAAGTACCGTATTGGTAAGGATCGGCGCAGCTGCCGGCAATGAAAACAATTTTTAATTGAACATCGTCCCCTCTCTTAATTATTAAACAATAACTACTTCAAAGCAGTAGACAGCGATATGCGCAAATTTACATTCCGAAGCACAGATTCAATTGATCGATGAAAATACCTGTAAACATTATTAAAACGTTCGGATCGCGTTAAACGAGGGTTCGCGCGTTCGCCGAAAAATTGGCCTAAATTGGCTTCCAATGAAATTCAGCGGCTTCGAGGTTTACGGGATGATGATGATGATAAACAAAGTTACACGTTAAATCCCGCGAAGTTTGCATAATTCAGGGAAAACATTTAAGTGCCAGCGGAGCCTTTGCGCGGTGTCGGGTGAGCAACGATAAATTCGAATTAATTAAAGGCACGCGCGTTACCGCGGTAAATCGATTCGCGCAATAATTTACAAGTTCCCGCGACGCTACGGAATAGGGGACGCGGAATATGGGACGCTTTTGGTATAATGAGGTTCGACACCCGTTGGATGTCGGGTCCCGAAAAAAAGCCGCTGATCGAATTCAGCCGGCACGTAAAAAACGGCGCGCGATCAAAGACCGTGATCGGCGTAGAAAAAATCTGTTCCGCCCCGCGAAAATTTCCGGTGCCGGTTAATTAATGAATCGCACGGTTTAATTAAAACGCGCGATACGGTGACACGCCGAGCCGAGCTGGGCCGCGCCGCGTCGCGCCGGGAGCCGGTAATTGATCCCGTTGCTCGGCAAAGTAGAACAGAAGTCTACTCCCGCGTGACGTTTAATTTCGCGATGCGATTTAGATGCAGCCAATTAAATGCGCCCGGCGACTGTATCGGGTTCTACAATTTCCATAAACCGAGGGAAGATGCCTGGAATTGGACGAGCCCGTGATTCCTCGAACGCCCGGCGTTCTGCAACGGCGATTTAGCCGATATTAACCGAGCATCATCCACCAACTAATTCCAGATAATTGCGCTGAAGGTTATCAGAAAATTTTCGGAACATCGTTCCACTGCAAAAGCACTCGCCGATCTCTTTGACGTGTTTTTTTACGCTCTCGATCGCTAGCTTCAATCGTTCCGCGATATCGAAGCAGTTTATGTAATGAACGGGCGCTTGACTATTTTTGCACTTTGTGGATCCCAATCAAAGGTATTGGGTATGTTTGAGCGTGGACATTCATTTTCTTCGAGAAGCTATTTTGGTTTTCATTCGTTTGGTGCTCGGAGGGTTAAATTGAAGGCTTAGTAATTTTATAGTATAGTATAGTATAGTATAGTATAGTATAGTATAGTATAGTATAGTAATTTTATAGTAGAGATAATAACGTAATTGATTAAACAATGTAATATTTCTGTCAAAAAATAGTTTTACCATATCGAATTTTTGCTGTCCACAAAATGGCTTGGACCGCATCTCCCAAAATGGCGTCTATATCGAAACAATGATGCTCAACCGACGCGAATATCTTTTTAAAAAATTACTACGCTATTAGAAATTCACAGTCGATTAAAATGCTTCAAGTAAAAAATTTCTTCAACATTAATATATGTATATAATGTTTGATGTCCACAAAACGACATGAACCGCGTCCATCAAAATGGAAGATGATGACCGTAAATAAATAAAATAAACTGTTCTAAAAAATTTCTACGCCACCAGACGTTCAAAGTTCATTAAAAATAGATCGGGCAAATGTTCGAGAAGCAACGTGGAAAGCTGGATACACGGATCAGTGGCATCCGCAGTTTGAATCTCGTGCATTCGATGGTTAATTCGACTCGAACGCGTCGAATTCCTTTTCTAACGCGATTCCTTTTCTAAAACCTGCTGAATGGACTAGTCGACGGCGGTTTTTCTCATTCGAGCACCGGATTAGCGGCATTTTAGGGCGCCAGACGGCGAAACGAGCCGCCACGCCGTCAAAGGAGTCAACGTTTCGCAAGCGGAAAGTCGACGCCGCGTCCGCTTCGCTCTGCGCCGCTCTGCTCGGCTCTGCTCAGCTCCCAACCGAGCCGGGAGGGTAATGAGCGAGAGCCGACGCTCGACGCCGACGTTTTGCGTTCATTCAGACCGTTTTATCCGATTACCGCGCGGCGAGCTCTTAATTAACGCGAAACGGTAACGTTACTTTCGAAAACGCGCGCGCCCTCCGGCCAGAAGGCTTCCTTTTTCAAGCCGATTCGCCGACACGCGTCGACGGATGAAAACCCCCGATCCTCGTTGCCTTATCAAACGGAACGTTCCCGTCGACGAACGCGTTGGCCCGACGCGATACAACCTCGGTGTCGCCGGCAATTTATGCGAACCGCTCGTGGAAACTTCCCTTTTTCTTTTATTCGAGCCGTCACGGCTGTTTCTGTCATCCAGAAAATCGATTTTCATGAAATTAACGCGAAGGAAAGCTTTCACGTCATCGTGTTATGGTTGTT